TTTGCTGGATAATGTGTTCTGTCACAAGCCACTGGTGACGGTCATGGACAGAACTGAGGGAAGGATGTATTTGTGCTTGTCCTGAAAGGCATTGTGACAGTGTTTGCGTCAGAGAACAGCCGGGGAAGAATGAAGTACAAAGTTAGCCTGGGAAGTTAGAAAACCTTCACGGAGGGGTAATTTGATTTCCTGGTAGAATTTCTGAAAGCTGATAAAAGAGTCGGGGAGAAAGAACAATTTGAACTAATGCAGCCCTTACTATAGGTAGCTATTCTCTTCTTCAGTGTCAGACATGATCCTCACTGCCCCATTGGGGACCAGGGAAGGCTGGCTACAATCCAGGAGGCCTGTTGTCCATCTTCATCCTGCCTTTCATGTCTTGTCTTCCCCCCACGGGCATGACCAGACCATGGTAGTGATTACTGGCTCCCCTCCATCTGAATTTGGGGAGCTTAATCATCCGCCCTTGCTTTCAGGTTTCCAGAGTTCTATTGCATAATTAAAAATGCAAATGTTAAGGTATTTTAGTCTGTAAAGAATTTTTCGGTCACATCACAGATTCTTTTCTCTCTGCAAACTTTCTTTGCTCCTCTAAGAAGATAGGTCAGAATTTAAGCCCATAAGAAAGTGTCCGCAGGCCCAGTTTGAACTGGAAGGAGCTGGCAGACTAGGAGGACACTACTGTAAGGGTGATGCCCATTGGTCAGGTTGCTGGTACACTTTAGTAGCCACCAGGCATCCATTTGGATACCAGAATTTGTGGATGCCCAAAATTCCTTCCATGATGTTGAAGGATATTTGTCTAGAAATCTGTGAACATATACCCACGTACTTAAATCCTGTCTAGGTTTGTAACTGTCTAATATCACATGATCCCTATGTAACTCATCAGTGTGGAATAACAATTTAAAAGTTAGTCATGGGATGATGAAAGGGCTCTGTTGGTAAAGGCACTTGCTGCCAACCAGCCACCTGAGTGGTGGAAGAAAAAGGTCAGTTTCTCTAGCGCCAGCAGAGGTTGCATTCTTGTGATTTTAATGAGTGGTTTGATATATATATATATATATATATATATATATATATATATATATATATA